GTCAGCAGTTCAAATTCACCAGCTGTTCTTGGAAACCCTATACAGAGTCACTATGAGTAGAAACTGACCAACAGCACACAACAACAACACAGTGCATATCTAGGGAGTCCTCTGTATTGCAAACAGGTTAAGGTACTTGGAGGCTAACAAAAAGTTTGTTAGGTCGAGTCCACACAGAGGTGCCTCAGAGGATAGACCTGGTAATCTAGTTCTAAAAAGCAGCCATCAAAACCCCTACGAAGTGAATCAGGTGGGTTTTGCCCCAGCCTCCTATCTTGAGTACACATGTGAATGATCAACTGACTGCTTGTTGCCAAACTGGAACTGTTCAGTAGGGGTTTTCTGGCATGCTATCATTCCTAGAAGGAAAAAGAAAGGGAAACTTGACTGCACAATGTTTTTTGTTTTAAATCCATGTTGTGACTTTTACTTAATTTCTATTTTATTTTAATTTTTTTGGTAATAAAAAGTTACTTTTTTATTTGAATTTGTCTTTTTTATTTATTGGTCTGAAAGGCATTTCAAAGGTATTATAATAATATATTGGTGTAATTTAATTGGTGCAACATGCTTTAAGGTTCCAGTCAAGATTAGTTTTCGCTCGTTTGATTGGTTTGAGCCCAGAACAGCCTACAGGGAAGAAAAAAAAAAAAAAAGGCTGGATAAGTACCCAAAGTGTTTGTATTTTCATTGGAAACGGATTTTTTTTTTTTCTTTCCAAATTTTGCATTTTGTTTTTGTTTTTATTTTAAATTAAATAAATTGCAATGAACTGAACTGAATTTCTGGAACTTTGCTTCTTTATTTGGGTGTTTTTCTCTTAGTCCCTTGACAGAATGACAGCATGGTTACAAGTAACAGAAACCCACCAAGCTAACTTTGGCACTGGAGGGGACATGATTTGATGTTCTCTGAAGAGGAAATGCAGCTGGCATCAGAAATGGAGAAGTGGGCTCCAAAGGAAAGGCTTACCCTCTTCTTTTTGTGCTTGGCTTTGAAAACCAACTTCATTCGTTCTCCTTTTGCAGCCTGGCTTTCTCCTCCCCAGTTGTGTGGTTCACCTCGTCTTATATTATACCACGGCTACCAGTCTTTCCCTCTGCTCTTCCCACCCCCCAATCCTGATAGTTTATGAGTAGATCACCAGGCTTTTCCCCCGCGGTGCCTCTGGGTGAACTCGAACCTCTAACCTTTGGGTTATCAGCTGAGTGCATTAACCAGTTGCCCCAGCTAGGGGCCTCCCCCATGGCTTCCAGATGGACATTTTCTCACTTCTGGTATCCAGAAGAGACTGCTCACCAGGTTTCTTGCTCTGAACTAGACATATATCATCACACGCTAACACCCAGCCATGCTCTCGCCTCAGGCTTCAGCTTCCTCCTTAGGCCCTTCACGCTCTCCCATGAGATGACAAATTCGTCATCTGATTGGTCAGTGTCCAAGATCAACAGGCCATATGTATCAGTGGGTAAACCCACGCTCCTGCCTATGATAGGATGTCAGTTGAGTACCATTTTGCTCTTGTTCTTTGTGTGAATAGGTCTTCCAGGAAACTCTTGGTAAGTAATGGCTTACAGGGTAAAATTGAGTTCCTGGATCATACTCAGATTATCTAATCACATCAAAAGTCCACTCTGGTATCAATCATGGGTCCTGGTGTGGTCCTGTAAGATAAGCACTGGACTGCTAACTACAAGGTTTCCAGTTCAAACCCACCAGTCACTGTGAGTCAAGACCTACTCAACAGCAGTTAACAACAAGAAGTATCAAATATTAGAGAACTCTGTATCAGAAATATTAAGGGGTCCAAGTCTGACTTTTCAGAGAAATGGCACGTTTCATCCTTTTCTGGTCCAATGGAGGAATATCTGATACAGCTGTATTAGATTTAGCAATGAAACCACACCCAATTAATCTGAATTTCAGATTGTTGTTGTTAAGCGCCATCGAGTCAGTTCTGACCCACAGAAACCCTGTAGAGGGTTTCCAAGGAGCGGCTGGTGAGCTTGAACCACCAACCTTGCAATTCAAACCGACTTAACCCACAGTGCCTCACCAGTACTCTGAATTTCAGATAGACGTTGACTATTTATTTTTAGTATAAACATTCCCCAAAGCAATATTTGAGTCATATAATTTATTTCCCTAAAATTCCAATTAAACTGAGCATCCTGTGTTTTATCTGACTGTCCTAATCTGATGAGGTTTAATTAGCCAAATTGACAAAGGGTTTAGAAGCTGGGTTGCTATAATTGTGGCTCGCCAAATTGGACATTCAGTGCCTCCCAAGCTGGATTGCGGGGAAATGATTTCAATTCCAACTTGGACTTGCTGATTGTTCTCAGTTTTCTCCTCTGTCTAGTGGGTA